TTGTTACTTTGATTTTAGTATAATACAAATTTTGTATTTACAGTTCTACTCGGCCTATACTCGATACCCGGTTAGTGTTAAAATTTTTACTCGGCCAATACTCGATACCCGGTTAGTGCTATAAATTTTACTCGGCCAGTACTCGGTACCCGGCTTTATACCAGATTTTCTACTCAGAACATCTCTAGTACCTAATGTATGTAAACGCAAGGCTTGTAATGACATTCATGAAATACAGCGAACAATAATACGGAAAGAGGTATCATCCATAGAGAATAATGAAGTATTTGGAAGCAATGACGTAAACTTAATAAGGAAGTCAATATATAATGAACGTAGGAAACTTTTACCAACTTTTCCGAAAAGTTTGGAGGACGGTCTAAACTTTGTTTCAAATAGCGATATTTTAACCTGCCAAAATGAAAAAATGACCTTCGTGTACAAACAAAATGAAATGATTATTGTTACGTGTAAAAAAAATATTGAATTTTTATGTTATCATTGTGATGAATACTCGGCTGACGGTACTTTTACATACAAACCAAAGTGTTTTTATCAACTGTATACTATATACCGTAAAAGCGGGATACTTTAATCCAGGAGTTGAACATTGCTCCAAAAAAAATTTTTATTGATATCAATCGTAGCACATTACAATTTTGAGATAAGAGATTGTAGTTTTTTTTATATTATTCTTATTAACATTACTAATTTTTTCAAACATTTCGATTTTCGAACATCAATCTATTAGTTTGCCTCCAAGATGTATGTCATGAAAAAAATTGTTTTCAAAAACACAAAAACACATAACAGAAAAGTTATCCAAAATCTAGGGGATTGAAATTAAATTTAAAATGTATTGAAAAAAAGACTTAATCAACTAAAAAAAAAAAATTATATTATTCAATTATATTATGTATACTGTATAGGTTCAAATAAGTTAAAACACAAGCACTAAACATTGCACCAATAGTCTTAATAACTATTATATGCTTTAAAATATGGTAATTTTAATCATTGTGCAATGTATTTTAACTTCGCTCCAAACTTTTGGGAATAAGTAAGTAAGTCACTAGTACGACATTCAGATTTTTTTGTATTGTTCCTACCTCTCAACATCTATACATATAAAACAAACCGAATAGGTAATTTTTATCTTTGTTATTGAAGCTATAGTATAGGTTCAAACTAAAAAAGAAATATATTTGGAGCAAAGTATCCCGCTCTTACGGTACACGGATGGGGCAGAAATTATTAGTTTCCTTTAGTACATTGTTTTTTACCCTCTAAAACTGAATCGTATTACTTACTTAAAAATATGGGTTAATATTAAAAATATATGTTTGGAGTTAGGACAAGTTTTAAATATAAACATCCATCTTGATTTTGAGATAGCTGCTCGCATATACGGCTGTGCAAAACACATTTTCTGGAGTAACAGTTAAAGGCTGTAGATTCCACTTTGGTCCAGCTTTATGGCGGAAAATCCAATTAAACAATAACCTTCGACAATCATATAATGCTAATCCAAATGAAAATTATTTAATATTGTTTAATTATTAATATAATTAATTATGCCTATACATATGCGTTTTTTGTTTATCGACTTTTTTGGGGTCAAAATATAACTGCGGTTTTTGGATACGACAATTTTTAAAACTGTGCGGTTTTAACCTATTAAATGTGTGCGGTTTTAACCTACCAAAAGTGTGCGGTTTTGTCCTGTATTTTATCAAACGTGTGCGGTTTTTGGAGTCTACGATTTTGTTCTAGTACCGTGTTCTTACTTCTTAGTAGAGTTTAGGCTCCTCATTACATAGCCATCCATTCTTGATAGTTTCTACGACATTCTTTTCGTTTTAAGATATTTTTTGGAATTCTCTATTTTTTCTCTTTCGCCACTCTCCTGTGATTTCATAAGCAACATATTATTACCTATAAGGGTAATAATGATTTCAATACTAAAATGATATGATTAATGGCTAAATAGTAAATAGTCATCACTCATCGTGATAAGTGATAAGTTTTGTAGGAAATAAAATATGGGTTTCTATAGATGAAACGACAGATGTACAAGGGATATATATAGCAAACGTAATAATCGGAACTCTACTGAAAGATAGACCCGGGTCCCGGAGAAATATATTTACTAAACACCGAAGTTTTAGAAAAAGCCAATTTTTCAACAATAACCAAACTTTTTGACAGCTCAATGTTTCTCTTGTGGCCCGACGGTGTTCGTCATGATGACGTTCTCCTATTTTTAAGCGATGCTGCGCCATACATGAAGAAAGCAGGTACAACTATCAAGGCTTTGTACTGCAAGATGATCCATATTACTTGTATAGCACACGGATTACATAGATTGGCAGAAAATATTCGGAGTCATTTTCCTAGAGTTGATAAATTAGTAGCAAAAGGAAAGCAAGTATTTTTAAAAGCACCTTCGCGTGTTTTATTTTTTAAGACAGAAGTTCCCGGAGTCCCTCTTCCTCCCGAACCTGTACTTACACGTTGGGGTTCTTGGATTGAAGCTACTTCTTATTATTGCCAATATTTTAAGCAAGTACGAGATGTTATGCAACATTTTGATTCTAACGATGCTGCACCTATCTATAAAAGAATCTCAAGCCCTTCTAAATGAAATTTCAATGGAACCAAATTTAACTTTTATACATTCAAATTATGGGTTTTTACCATCAACCATAACTAAATTAGAATCACAAGGAGTATCATTAACTGATTCAGTAACAACAGTAATGTTCACAAAAAATAAATTGGACGAAGTTGCGGGTGACGTTGGAATGAAAGTAAAAACAAAATTTAACCAAGTTTTAGAAAAAAATTATGGGTTTGCAATAATATTAAAAATTTTAAAAATTTTAAATGGAGAAAGTTCATCGATGGATGGTTTACCAGAAGACCTAACGGGAAATGATTTAACATTTTATAAATATGCACCAGTAACATCAACAGACGTCGAAAGAAGTTTTTCAAGGTACAAAACCATACTGCCTGACAATCGGCGATCATTCGACGTAAAAAATATTAAAAAAACATTAGTTGTGCAATGCAATAATTTATCAGAAGAAAAAAGTCATTTTAAAACTATTTTTGTATTAATATATTTTATATTTAGATATTTTAAGGATAAATCCAAAATTCGAGATTGAAGAAAACCATACTAACAATTGGCGATCATTCGACGTAGAAAATATTTAAAATAAAATTAATTGTGCAATGCAATGATTTTTATATTTCTTTTATATCTAATTTTTTTATTTTACTAAATTATAATTTAATTTTTTTGTGCATATTTTTCCAATTTTTCCTCTTATAACTTCTCTGCCCTAGTGATAACTTATAAATATCCATCCAAGTCCGGGAGTCCCACGATAACTTAATTTTAGATATTATATTATTATAGCCTGTGTTGTCTAATGTCTTCCACCTCGCTGTAACAGAATTTATTATAACAGATTTGATGGATCGTCTACAGTCAATTAAAATAGAAATGGTGGCGGTTCATTAAAATGTAAAACAACACAACAATTATTAATTTGAAGTTTTCTGGGATGACATATAAACAACATAATAATAATTTATAACGTATTAAAATACTTGATAATCATTAACAATAATTAATCAATAATCAGTATTCGGTAAGTAAAATATGGGAGACACTGGTAAAGTTTTTTGGTAGGTACCTAGGCAGAAAACTATACCAACGAAGTAGTGGTAGGTACATAGCATACTACACGGGTATCGAAATTGCAATACAAGCCACAAGGATCCTCTTATAATAGCCATTGAGTAATATTAAAGATACATAATCACGATTTTTTTTTTTATAAGTATTTAAATTTGCAAATTATTTTGTAGTTAAAAACTTAAAAAATTAAAAAATCTTCAATTCTTATAGCTAAGGATTAAAAATTTAAAACGAGGATTCTCATAAATATTCTCATAAAATTAAAAAATCTAAAAAATATATAAACACAGTTTTTTTTATAGACACCTATTACTTAAAGTTCAAATATGGACGAAATTAGATATTTAAACAAAGAATAATGATTTTAGTTATTTTGTTGTAATTTAAAAATATTATTTGTGGGTACTTGAAATTTTAAAAGTATATTATTTTATTTTATACACAGACATTTTCATATTATGCAATTTTTTCAAAAAAATGTACTTAACCTACTATATATATTATATAGTACTAAGTACTAATGCCTAATAGTAAATAAATTACTTCACAATAATATTATAAAATATACTCAATAATCCTATAGGCTGACAGTCTTCGCTCAAAGTTGTTTTTCTATACAATGATTTTATATCATTGAATTAAAATTAAACATATCTATTACAGACTACAGTAGTACAGTGACTCCTCTAAACCCACTTGCCTGCTTTTTTAAATTAGTTTGATGTGACACAGTAGATCAAAGATAGCAATAGTACAGATAAAACAAATTGTTCAATGGTTTATTGATATTATAATTAATTGGTAATTTATGATAACATAATATATATGTATTACTAATTATCTAAGCAATTACAATTTTGATGAACACAGACTTTTAGTCTTTTAGAATATCATAAAAGTACAAATAGGTGAATTGGTCAATAAATGAATATTTAATAAAATAAAACAAACAATATATTATAACATGGAAATTAATACTAATTATTCATAATGGAGCTATCATAACAATGAGTAAAACTAATAGAACCACCGAGAAATCAAGGAAACCACTTAGGACTAGCTTAAATCATACCTATCACAGTAATTTGTTTATGTATTTTGGCAATAAAAAAAAAATGAACAATACATAGGGAATAATAATAATTCACTGGCAATTAGTATTTCAAATTGTCAATTTCTTAAGTCACTATCCAGTTTGTAATACCAAAATATACACATTCTTCAATTAAATAAAGGTAATAAAAAAATATTATTCAAATTATTGCAAAAAAAAAAAATTGAAATGAATTTATGTGTCTTGGTTAGAGCATAAATCACAAACTCGAACGGGGTTAGGCCAACCTCGGTGTGGGACTGGTTTCCGATGGTTGGAGCAACTAGAGCAAACTCCATGGCCACAATCACGGCAATGATGCAATATTAAAGTAGATCCGAATTCTGATTTACACATATAACATTCCAATGCCTCACTATCAGGTACCCAATAAGACGGTCTAGCTGTATCTTTAATAAGATCTAAAAAACAAGATTTATTAAAGAATAATAAAAAATATATAATAATAATAACAGTAATTGCACTAACTTTTTGGATATTCTAGAACGGAAGCTACAGAAGATAATGTTTGAACTACAGCTTCACTAAACTTACGAGCCCCTACTTCGTTTTCATCTCCTCGACTAGATGAATCTGAACAATTACTACTTATGCTACCTATAAATAATTTTAAATTATAGAATTTTATAAATTGTAACTTCAGACAATAAAGTGAACAAACCAGATCGTTTATAACAAAAATTGCAAACACGAACAGGTGTATTCCATCCTCTTTCAGGAACACACAATGTTCGTTTAGAACATTCATCACAAACTCCTTCTCCACAGGCTCGACAATGATGTTTTATCGATGTTGAAGAAAATTGTAATTTACAGACAATACATTCCTAATACCATATCAATTACTCTAATAATAGTTAATTTATATGGGTATAGGTAGATAATAATAATTTCAAGTATTATTTAAATAACATAAATAGTACCTTTATTTCAGCATTTGGTTTCCAATATTTAGGTGCAAATTGATCAGCAACCCAAGAAGATAACAAGCGGGATGGTTCATAACTAACACTAGCAACTGTTTCAGAAAGGTAAGTTACACCATCCAACACTTTTCTAGCAGGATTCATACTCGATGAAGAAGGTAAATCCATCTAAACAAATACATACAAATATTTTATTATAACTTTATAATAAAAATAATGTTCTTAGTGTGTATGCTATATAAAAACAAATATAGATTAATAATAGGATAGTTTAATTTATTTTGAAAATTTAGGTAATTCATATAATTCATTTATTAAAATTGTAAAAAAATGTACATGATCAAATAAATAAATAAACCTTTATTCAGTTTATAAATTTATTTACACATGAAATAATATACTACAGAGTTTGACCTTTTTATTATTATTTATAAAAGTCTAGTAAAGTAGTAACCAATTGGAAAATATTTTATTTGTCAAGTACTCAAGTCTTATGATTTTAATGGAGTTGGGCAAGTATTATTTCTTTGAGATTGAGTCTTTTAAAAGTAGAGTACTTTAAATCGCTGAAGTATTTAAAAATGTTCACGGTACACATAAATTTCTAAGTTCTATTAATGATCATAAATAAATTGAATATTGGGGAAAATTAGGATTTCAAGAAATATATCTATAGTTTTTTTTATTTATTTTTCCAATAAAACAGTTGAGTATTTGATCATGTGAAGTAAATTTGAGAATTAAATTGAAGTCAAATAAAGTTGAATACTGGATGTAAGTTAATTACTTTATTTAACTCCAATACCTGTGTTTAAGAACATAAAAATAAATGTTGTAGAGTACTCAAATTTTATCCGTGAATTTATTCAAAGTTGATTAAGAAATATTATCCCATTCAAAATGTCTTTAATATAACATAATATTAATTTAAAATTTAAATATTAAAATCATTTCTCTTTTATACATTTCACAATTAAGTATGTTATTAAAATATAATTTATGTACAGATATTAACACTTACACCAGGCCAGATATGTTTTGTTTCTGTATAAACAACAGTTTTTTCTGGATCATTATTTCCATACCAATACTGTTTACTCCGATAAATTACACCACATACAGGACAATCAATGGTATACCTGTATGGTAAAATAAAATTCATAATAAAATTAAGTATATTTGTTAATCATACTATAATATTTAGGAATATTTACCCAGACAAGGCATATTTAAGCCAAGAATGTTGGTTATCATTAGTATAATTTGTTGTAACAACAACAGGTGTTCCGTTGTCTGCACATACTTTACAAACATAAACTGAATTTTCAAATTGTGACTGATACCTGAAACATATATTTTTTCCTTTAACATTATAGTTAGTATAAGACAAACAGAACAGGACTTATTAATTTTGCCCCCCTTTCTCATATCTAACGTTCATTTCTGTAAGACAAATTTATTTAATCAGATATTCTAAAGACAAAACTGAACAAAACTGAATCATTTTTAAACCGAGACTTTATTTACAACTATTACTGCTTTTCTAGCTAGAACTAGCAATTAACATTAGTATAAGTATATATATATATATGCCTTAATATAATATAAAAGCTATAAATATAAAATAATAAAAGGAAAATTATAACTTTATGGTGGTGACAGAAAAATAATATTTTATAATAATTAAAATTGTATCAAATAAGTATAAATATATATATAAAAAAAAGACTAAGCTACAAAATGTTGGTGCCCAAGGCCAAGGTTTATGTGTTAATCTACCTCACCAAGACATACAAACCAAGTATACAAATATTAAACAGAATAATGAATAGTTAGAGTAGTCAAACACATAATAGAACCTTAAATACAGTTTGTATTATTACCGGCATTTAGAATTATTAAAATGAGGAATGTTATCTTTTAAATGCCCAACACTATTTGAACATCGCTGTTCACAAGATTGACATACAGTTGGACATGTTAAATGTTGGTCCGGAAAGAGTGGTTCAATTGAAGTTTTAATGACGCCAGTAAATTTGTCGTTCAATGCCTAGAAAAGTAACACATTTTAACTGTAGTTACAACACATATAATTTAATATATCACAATACCTTAAGAGTGAGATAAACAATGTGAGGAGATCTCTGTGGTCGATTACAGTTTTTTTTAATTTCTTCATTAAGTACTTCTCTAATTCGACCAAAATCGGTTGGTGGAATTATAGTTTGAATTCCCACATAACGAAGAGATGCAAACCCATCAATGTCAAGTTGTAACTCATGAAATCTATCTTGTATCTGCTCTGAGACATCTTTACCATTATCTTTGAAATATATGTTTATTAATATTGGTATACATTTAAAGGTTAAGATAAAACTCACAACATCCTAATGGTTCAGTATTTCTAGTTTCATGAAAAATACATAATGTTGGACCTTTCACAGAATCAGCACATTTAATTGGATCTATTGATCTATTACAAACAGTAAGTAAGGCTTTTTGAAAATGTTTTATATATGACTTAGATGCTGAACCAAGAAAGTTAAACATATCATCTTGTAATCTTTCACCTTTAACTCTGTATATAACTACATCTGATACTGCTAAGACCTAGAACAATTGATAATATTTAATATTTAAAAAAAATTATTATTTAGATTTAATTTACCTTGAGCAAAAGTCTTGTCCTTTGTTTATTATGAGCAGTTGATCCAGAAAATCCTTCTGTATCTAAACACACAACATTCAAGGATGGATCAAACGCTGCCCAAACACCTACTGTACACGCTTTTTGTTCAGAAGATGTGCGAAACACCTCCGCGCCTCTAAAAAAACATTGGTTCAAAGTGTACGACTTTCCATCCCCAGTATTTCCAAATATAGATATTACTTTAACTGGACTAGTATTTTTATATCCATTGAGACGTTTTACAAACGCTTCAACACTAGATACCTATTCAAATGAATATCATGAAAAAAAATTAAATGTTTATTAGTACCTAATAAAACGAGGTATTTAATAAGGGATTAATAAGATGTCGTATAAAAATCAGATAATTACATCAATATTTTCTTTATTGTAATTAATCATACCTTCAGTCTTTCTTTCTCATCGAGAAGTAAAAAGCTATGACAATGACCATCACCTTCCTCCTCACTGTCATTGTAATCGGGAGTAAGTTTTAATGATGTAAAATGTGACGTCAGAGTCACATCTGGTAGACCAAAATCACTGTGAGCTGAAGAAATTGCACTGACAGGGGTCATAATGGCTGGTAACTTGTGTTGGTTCTTCAAATGGCCCAATCGACCATAACAATTGTCATCCATTGACAAGACATCTCTAAAATAATTAAATTATGTACGGTATAACATATGTTTTCATCATTATGTATTAGTAAATTACGCAGTATTTTTACCTATATACGTTCATGGTTACACAAAACACAGGTAAAAGTGAGTGTGAATATTATCATCATTGAGCAAATATATTATAATGTTTACCTTATAAATGCATTTATGGTCGTGCACTTGTAGTTTTATGTATAACGATAACACTCGGGTAATGAAGTAAATTATGGAAATTGATGATGAGTTATGAAGTATAAACTATTTTCATTATAATATGAATTATGAAAAGCTACATTTCAGGCAACAAAGGAACAACAAAAATTAAAATAAACAATGAAAATAAATTCTGCGTAAAAAAAATATTCTTATCAGATTATCATGGTCTTATGTTATCATGTAAAATATGACAAAGCCACAAAGGTGAATCTCTGAATCACGGACTAAGATATACAGGACTGGACACGAGATGAATATTGTGGTTACGAAATGTTTTACAACAGGCGGAGTTCGGGGGGATATTTTCCTTTTAGCATTACTAGCGCCGTCTTAGTGGATACTTATGGAACTAGAAATTTGTATGATGTGTTCTAGTTCCATAAGTATCCACTAGGACGGCGCTAGTAATGCTAAAAGGAAAATATCCCCCCGAACACTACCTGTTGTAAAACATTTCGTAGTCAACCCCCCCACACCCTCCAACCTTGTCGTGTCCAGTCCTGTATATCTTAGTCCGTGCTCTGAATAGATATTATCTCAATATTATCTACCATGATAAGTGATACCATGTTTTGATTTGCAAATAAATAATACAATTATAATAGTATAATAATTAATAAGTAATGAAAAGTGTAAACAATGAACAATCTGCTCTTGCCGAAAATTGAAATGGTTGAAATATTTGGATATTCAAATATTTTTATTGCTATTTACTATTTATTAATCTTAGTGTGTTACTAATGCCATATAGTAATAATAATGTCTATGAACATAAATGACATATTTATAGGAGAAGTAAGTTTGTATCTGGAAATTATATTAAAATGATAACTTTAGTTTTAATATTATTAGTTCTATAAATCAAACTATGCATTCAATTAAACAATTTTAATGGGACCAATTTGTTTGAATAAAAATTTGTTTGAATAAAATAATCCTAGATAATCACACGATAACCAGTCAATAATATAGGTATTGATGTACATTTTATTTAATTGATTTAACACTGGTTATCCCATTTTTGTGTATATAAAATTATTAATTATTATTATTTAGATTGAATTTTGTCAAAAATGTAATTTTTATTTAATGTGTAGGTCATAAAGTCATTTTTTAAATTATTTTACAATACCTATTAAAATCTGAGCTATACTCATGATTTAAACCTATAACAAATTTTAAAAAACTATATTATAAAAATATTAAAAATTACCATACTTGTAAGTTGTAACCTAAATTTACATTATTATTCTATAGGTACAAATAAAATGATTAATAAAATAATAAAATGTTTGCTTAATACAAGTTATAATAAATAAATAAAACAAAACGGGGTGTAGAGAAAACGTATTAATTATAATAGTACTGTAATTCTAAATAATATATTCTAGTGTCTATAGTATACTAGTACCTATACTACAATCAAACATAATTTGTTATTGTAAATAATATTTTAAATAATAATGGATCTTTTCTGTTATATGTCAGTGATGCTTGTGTTTCCGACTCGCTCGCTGCACTGCGCTTGGACAAAAAAATTGAAAAAATCCATTGAATTGCTATGCACACCACCTCAAGTTGGTCACAGGGTAACCTCTGTATATCCAGCCTTAATAACGAACTTAATCTTATAACAACTATTAAATTTAAATAATGGTATACATATAAAACATATAACACGTATAATATGTATTAAGAGTGGATAACGGCGGTTACCCTGTGACCAACTTGAGGTGGTGTTGCATGGCAAGTTGAGGGATATTTTCAATTTTTTTGTCCGAGTGAGAGGCAACACGGGCATCACTGAAGTAAAAAAGAGTGTCCCGTAAAGTAGGAAATGGTATACGTATTATAACTGAAAAGATCCATAATAATAAATAAATAATATTTTAGTTCTCCTTGTTTTGTTTTTGCTATTATGACCAGATATTATTTTACTTTATTTTAGGAATTTAGGTACTGCTTAACTTTAATATTATAATACATTAAACATTAAAATACTATTATTAACTGGAAAATAAGAAACTTAAAAATGTAGTAGGTAGGTATATTAAGTATTTTTTAATTTTAGGTTGCATCTGTCCAAAATTATGGGGCATTTATTAGAATACCAGGAAATAAGCAACAAGGTCTTGTGCATCGCACACAGTTGTCAAGAGTGCCTGTGGATGATGCCACAGATGTTTTATCTAAAGGTGATAAAATATGGGCTAAAGTTATTGGAACAGTAAGTTAATTAATTTGTATGTAAATATTATTATATATTTGTATTTATAAATTATGATGTAGGATGACGGAAAGATTTCTCTATCTATGAAACTCGTTGATCAAGGTAGCGGCAGAGATTTAGATCCCAACGGAGTTCAAATGTTGTGAGTTATAACTTTATTTATAATCAAACTAAGAAATAATATTTTATATTACATTATCATAAGGGGCTAAGAGGCAATTTTACTACTTTTCAGGAGAGCAGAAACAAAATTTTTATATGTTCTTAACTTTGGCTTTGGTGCTTCGGTTTTTATTTAAGCTTTAGGAATGAAGTTTTTATATATTTTGATTCCATTTGATGTTACCTTGATGGCTTGATACTAGTTATATTGAAATGTTTGCCTTAATTTTTAAACACAATGCATTTTGTTAAAACTTACCATTTCAACTTTATTGTTTCATTTAGTCACCATGAAAAACGATTAAATAAAAATAATAATAAACGAAAATATTGTAACAGTTTTTACACTATATCTAATAATATAATAATATCAAGTATCTAATTATTGATAATATCTAATAATATTAATATAGGGCGATGAACGATAATAGTGTGGTCCACTACTCCAGCGACGTGGTGGTCGCTTGGCTATTACAATTTTCATTATTGTCGCTTATACCTTAAAAAAGGCTTGTACCGAAAAATGAAATTAAAATATCTCATTACCAAATTTTCATAGGAACACTAGCGGTCTTGTGATCAAATTCTTTAACTGTCGCTTGTTCCATAGTATACACCATGTCGCTTAGCCCCTTTTGCCTTATACCAGTCGATATATTTATGTTATATCTTTTAGTCAAGATGAACAAAGAAGAAAGATTCAACCCAATTCCAAAGGTAAAAGAACAATTCAATTAGATGCAGTTTATAACACAAAGTGTGTGAGATGTGGAACTGGTGGACATTTAGCCAAAGATTGTTTTAAAGTATGAAATTTCATTAATTAATTCAATTAAAATGTTATTATATGTTAGTTAAATATATTAATTTCAGGGTACATCTGGAAAAATATATGATCTTTTGCCAGAAGATGATGAGACTGAGATATTACACATAGTACCTATCCAATCTGAAAAGTCTGAAGTAACGAACAAAGATATTTTATCAACAAATGAAAAAAACAAGAAAAAGAAAAAAAAGAAAAAATCTAGCGAATCAAAGAAAAAAAAGAAAAGAAAAAGACATTTATCAACTTCTTCGTCAAATGTAAGCCATCAACAGCAATTCAATGTTGCGCGGTTAAAATTGAGTTAAGTCAGATTTTAAATTTTTTGATAAAATCTGATCTAAAAGACAACCCATTTTTGATAAATTTTCCCTTTATTTGTCAGACTTAACTCTTATAATCTGACCTAACTCATTTTGACCACGCACCAGAGAATTGATAATTGGAAATGTAATTTAGTTGAACTGTTTAAAAAAAAAATATCTTATTTCAGAGTTCCAGTTCTGAAGAAAGTTCAAAAAGAAAATCAAAGAAACACAAAAAAAATAAAAAAAATTAATAAAATACTTTTTATATTACATATTTCAATATAATTTATTGACTAAGAATCTAGTTTATTTTATTTTAAAAACTTATATGTATTCTATTTATTATTGTATTATTATTAGTGAATAAGCAATAGTCGACATATTAATTTTCTATCTTTCTTTCATAAAGTCTCAATTAAAACTTTAATTTTTAATTTTAACAAATTGCTTAACAGTTTTTAAAGTTTTTGGTTTTGTCTTTCAATAAATAGCCTATTCTAGTGTATCTATTGTCATAAATGTAATTTATGTTTATTATATTCAATGATTTGGGTTAATTATTATCGGTCTGCAAGATGCAATTCTGATATGTTATCCCATAATCAATACGCATGTTGCATACTTGCATATAACACTATTAACACTCTTAAATAATTAATCTTATAATTCAATGATTCGTGAGGTTATAGTTATATTAGTAAGGTACTAGGTAGTAAGTTGTTCATTCATTTATTTATATGTAACTAAACCAATAATTCAAACATCTTACTATAACGACCTAGTCTACCTTGGTCCTTAGACATTTCATAGTGACATAGTACATTTTTGTTTGTTGTATAATTAGTTGATTTGTGATTAAGATTTCATATATTATATTATAGTTATAAACTTAGTGTACCAAAATGCCAAATCAATCAAAAAGTACATAGAAAGTACCAATCATTTATTCTGATTGTTTAATTTGTAATCTTCATTTTTGTAAACCAGCATATTATTAAGCTTTCCCGGTAAAAAAAGATATGACACAGGTCTAACCTCTAACATATTGATTAATGATTTGTATCAATGTTCTATATTATGATAGATTTAGCACATTAACTTTGTGTCTATGAATAACTACAAGCATGAACAAACATAGATATGCAAAAAGTGGTTGTAGGCTCATAGTATGGAGTTTGATTTATTGGTAGTAAAAGTATGAATCCCTGAGATCCATCAAATTATTAGATTTATTTTTGAAGATTACCTAAATTATTGTGCCTTTTTTAAGCAACATAAGTATTGATTATTTGGGTGGAAATAACAAATTAGATACCAAGATTTAATTATTTAATTTTTTGTTCAACCTAATATCAAGTCAATCATGTCCATAATGAATAAATATTTTCAATGTGCTATACAAAAAATAGTTATGAAAATAGGCACATTCTGGTAATGAATTGTTTTGAATGATATATCTTTGCTTTAAAATTCATAATAATACATCACTCATCGATCAACATAGATGGTACAGTATAATAATACATCTTATCTCCAAGCACATATACCCCCCTGAAAATTAATATTTGTGTATTTATTTAAATCAATCATCCATAACTACAAGATGAAGACTACTATGACCCCTCCCAGATATATTTGGCTTGCAAATGGGATACATGTCGTATAGGCACAACCTGAGTTTTTGAGGGTGAAGGATCTAATATTCTAATCCAACTACCTATATACATTATTGTCTGACATATTATTAATTTTGTATAGGTCAAAAAAGAATAAATTTGAATACAATATTTTTAAACTAATTCAACAAATTAATAAAATAATATGTATTTATTATTTGTATTACCTACTGTTATTATACTACCTACTGGCTACTATAATAGTACCTACATCCTACATAGCATATTTTGTTATACTTATATTTATATCATATTATATTATATTTCTATATGACCAATGACATAGGTGTCATTTTTGGCTTGGCTTTTTAAAAGAAGAATTGTTGAACAATTTATTGATTTTGAATTTTGATAAAATTCATACTATGGAAAAAAGATTAAACGGCAGTTGTACTATCCGTATCACACAGTAGTACACATACACTGCATTACTACAGCGCTGCCTAGCGTCGTACCGCTGTCAGGCGCTATTGTCAGACTTACCTACCACTCATTCTGCCATGTGAATCTCACGTATCTTGCAAGTATATATATGACCTGTTCATCGATCCATCGATGTGAGTCTGGCACACTGCAATTGGATTTTTGACGTGCATCCTCGGGAGGCGAATGCAATACGGCCCGCACTGTGTTGGCATTTACGCCGTTCCCTATCCGCCGTTATCCGTTCAAAAACACTCGGCGGGACGAGTGTGAACTTTGCGCGGATATCAGGCGGGGGAGAATGTGCGTTGAAGTTCGTTCCTTCCTCCCTTCGTAATCACCAACTTTCGAAAAGTGCTCGTATCGTAGTAGTGCGAGGAAAAAAAGAAAGAATGGGAAGTCAAGGGGAGAGGGATATACACCTGAAAGTTCTGTAACAGTTGTCGGTTGGATTGTTGATATCTACGAAACGCTCATGGCGATACGCAGAATTCTACAATCTGACAATTTGGAGAGTTCTTACGTGGTGGAATAATATGCGATTGCTTTGTGCCAGGCTCCAAAAAAATTTTACTTATTTTATTTTATATTGCATAGTATATAATTATTATAGTGTTTTTTTTAATATTTTCATTTATTTCTTTCATGGATAAAATGTGAAATGGTTTCATTTTATGTAAATAAATTATTATAAACGGAGAATAAATACCTAATTAAACCAGGTTGTATCGGATACTTGTAAATACATATAATTGGTATTTGAAATTTCCGTCGCCGGTTCGAACTCGGTCACTGGCGGCATTTATCTTCGGGCAGTCACGGTGTCCGGAGAGAGGCCGCCATCCTCCACCCGGACATGCAGATACCTATGGGTGCCCACTTCAAAATTCTGCCAAAACCAACACACTCATTCAAAACCTACAGTACCCTCCCCCACAATTACACAGGCTAATGACCTCAGTTGTCGAACCCTCAACAAAAAAAAAAAAAAAAACGGATTTTATTAAACTATTTTTAGAAAACATTAATCCTTTATACTCAATATAGGTAATTATGTTTTCAATATCTAATTTCTACTCATATTGAGTAATGAGTACCATATAGATACCGATGTATAGTATCATAGTGATGGTGCTGTTGAATTGTTCAACTATTCATCGACAAACGGATTAATATAATTAAATTTTCCTTTTAATGTCACGCTGCTAACAAAATAATATTGTTGAATACATTCATTGTACCAATAAAAAAAATCTATAATCCCACAAACAAATCATTATAGTTATTATAATAATTGAAATTGGACATGGTATTATTAGTTATTACATTTGTCATTCCGACGAAACTATTGACAAGTATTGGCAGTAATTATTGTCATATTGGGAACGGCAAAAATATTTTATGTGATTAGCAATGTAACGTGGTCGGGTTGTCGGTTGACCTCCTTACGTATCTAAGAAAGGTGGTTGAACCGTTAAATAACTAGGTAGAGGATTGATAATCAGTAAAGTTATCTGTTTGGCTGGTTCCAACAAAATTATTCTGACTTATTAATTTATTATTTTCCAAATATTATGTAAGTAACGTGTACATGAATACAATAAAATACATAGAAAAACTGTTTATTATTTAAAGCAATACATATAGGTAGATAGGTATTTAAAGTACCAGTAACAATAATAATACAATAAAAAACAAACACAATCGTCCTTTAGTAATAACAAATAATACCTAAAACATAATTATTATTAAATTATTATATATTATTTTAAGTGTAATATACTAATATGTACATAATAATAATACAATGTATTACCTACGTTATGTTATCGACGTCTGGAATATATTATAATATGATCAAAATAAAAAAAGAACAAAATAAAATAAATATTTAATAATACAACAGGACAAGACCGATTTATTATGGTCAACTTTTTATAATACTATAATATAAATCAGCGGCGTAGATACAATTTTTTTCTGGGGGGGGTTTTAAAATATATTTATGATCAAATTTACAAGTTAATAACTTAACTAAACGTCATTTTTATTTTTATTATAATAGGAAATTCATAAAATAAAATCCACCCGTCGTTTGTTTGTAGATAATTCGTCCAACACTTCCTTTGCATCCACTGATATTGAACGATGAATGGACAGCATTGCCAATCCATTTAATCTTTTCTAAAAATTTTAAATATCATTCATATTTTTGTTTAATTAAATATACAGTTCCTATAATATAATATATTATATAAATACCTCTGACATTGTATTCCTTAGGTACGTTTTAATTCTCTTCAATGACGAAAAAGACCTTTCGGATGAAGCTGTTGAAACAGGTAGTGTTGCTAATATTTGTAGTAATTTGTATATATTTGGATACATGTCATTGCAGATAATTAAAGCATCCATAGCATTTGTAGGTTGTTTATCTAATGCAAGTATTTTACGTTGCCAAAGTTTTAACTCAGATATCAAAATATCTTTATTGTTATCTGCCAAATCATCATTATAAAAATCTATCAAACTAATAAATTCATCTTTTTCAAGTGTTGACATTTCTGTCGTTTTTGGAAATAAGTTTTGAAATCCTTTTAATATTTTCTGATGTTCAATAAATCTTGATTCAATTTCGTTAATAAACAAGTCTAAATAGGGTATGAATATTGTTATTTTAAAATATTCTTCAGGTGTATTCACTGAATAGTTATCTCTGTTTTTTTGTTTACGTGCAATTCGAGGTAATGTTATTGAAAAACACAACTCCTGAGCTAGAGCAGATGCTTTTGTGTAGATATCATTAAAATATTCATCAACGTTACTTCGAATTGTTTTTAATTCAGACAGTGTCGCATTAGCTAAAACCATAGCTTCTCTTAAATCAATAGCAACGCTTTGGAATTGTTTAGACAGTGGCAATCCAATGGCAAATATTTTAGATAAAACCAAAAGTGATATGATAAACTCTCCTTGTAAAATTGAATTTTTTAAATTATTTGCTTGACTTGAGGTATCACCATCGGCCCAACTACTAATTGTGTCTAAGGAATCAATGACACATTCTAAAAGTTCGATAAAATCATGAACTGAATGAAAACGTTCGATCCATCTTGTAGCACAGTTGCGTTTTAATGTTTTTGCATTAATTGTTCCATTAAAGTCTTCGATTGCTTGTGAAAGTATATTTTTTCGTTTGGGGTATACAAAGAAATCACGTGTTTTTCCAATCGTACCCAAGCAGTTTCTAATTGGTTGTATTGTACAGGATTTAGATACTGCTAAGTTTAAGGTGTGTGCTGTTATCGCTGTTTTCGTCGATTTTATAATTGGTTTTCTTAAAATAGAAGTGTAAACACTCGGATAATTTCTACAACCAGGGATATTATTATAAATAGTAATAATAATATTATATATGTTAATTTGTACTAGTATTATTTAGTATAACTATTATTTAAAATTATAACCAATATAAACATTTTGTTTTGATGATGGGGGGGGGTGGAAACCCCTTACACCCCCCCCGTAACTACGCCACTGATATAAATATTGTAATATGATACATCATAATGTATATTAATAATATTCTTATTGTAAACAATTAAAAGCTACAAGTGTTAAAATTATCATAATATAATGTATAGATGTATAGACACTAGACAGTATAGTATTAAACTATTAAATATTTAAATATGAATGTTTTATTTAAAGCTGCTAATAAGTACCTACCTAATAGTGCTATACAGTGTAGAATCCATTATACAATTATGCAAACGGTTGATAGGAAATCCGAAATGCCGAAATGGTAGGTATCTACTAAAATACAACATGTAAAAGTTTATCTATAATATTATTAGGTATGATAAATCTTCTAAAATATGCAGTATTTAATAAAATAATTGCTGCAATTGTAGCTAAAAATTACATAACATTGGAACATATCTACAATCTACATACTAGGTATCTTGTCTCCATCACTTTAAATTAAATTATATTATATAATGTTCAATATTGTCTTTCTTCAATAGGTAATGGGGTTTTCAATGAAAATTTGATAAATATTTGCGAAAAAACCTAATTACTAGAAATAGTACAAGTACATTATGATTTATTATGGTATAGCGCAGGGGTCTCCAAACTACGGCCCGCGAACAAGTTTTAACCCGCCCGTGGCCCGCATAGGTAAATATAGATAAAAGTGATAAAACAATTATTTCAAAAATGTATTTATAATTTATATTATATTATATTTATACCTATTTATTTTTATTTAAGTATATTGTAATGTAAACAATATTTTATACAAAAATATAAAGTAAACAAATTATTTATATAGGTAGGTACCTAATATATTATCATAAAATTAAAAATTATATGTGTTAATAAACTTTTGGCCCCCTAAGAGCAATTGATTTTTTTTGTGGCCCTTGAATAAAAAAGTTTGGAGACCCCTGGTATAGCGTATAGGCATAGGCAATTACTTAGTGGCGTCAGTTTCTAATGGGTGAATATAGTTGAAGTAAATTATTATTCCAGAGAATGTCGAGTACAAACAAAAATGATCAAATTATAATTAATTAGATACTAATTAGGTAGTATTTTAATTTTATGTTTTAGGTGTAAAAACCCTACACCATTTTAGCTTGTGTCACGATTTAAGGTAGTACTATTTTTGAAGATTATATATAATATTTTATATTTATTATTTATATAACATTTTCTTTGTCTCGCATACCCAATACATAAAATATAAGACTAACAGATTTTTATTTTCCAATTAACGCACCATAGCGATTGCTCTCCTCCAGAATAATTTTTTTCTCCGGGTTTTTATTTATCTAAATCTGACTTGATTGCACTACTTAATACTATTTAAATTTATATTATAATATAATATAACGTCTAAGTATGTGTCTTCTCATTTCAACGTCCACATATTTTTTATTTTTTAAAAAGTTTTACAGATGATGGGTTTGGTATTTTCTACAATTTTCATAACCTATAAAAGGTAAGCGCATGTCTCAAAATAATAACGGAATAATAATTTGCGTGCAATCCTATGAAATTTTTATTGTGAAAATGTACGTACTAGTTTTATATTTGTATGGTAGAGTAAACCAGAATAATCACCTAAAATGTTTGAAAACATAAAACTTCATATTATCAGAAGAATCTTATTAATTATTATCAAATCGAAGAAGAATCATATACAAGTTCGTAGGTAACTTACTATTTTTGAATTTACATATTTATTGTGAATAAAATAAAATATTATTAATATTATTATTATTAAGGGAACGTTTTTAAGTTGGCCCGTACCTATCATTCACGTATGAATTAGAACCTTTTCATTCTCTGTATCTCATTGAATAATCAACGGATCAATACGATTTCAAGATTGAATTATACAACAAAAAATATTAAATATATTAAAATAATAATATGGAAAAAAAACATTTTTCAAAAAAAATTGATTTAGAATCTTTTCATTCTGAGACGACGGAATCTTATAAAAGTATACAAAGGAATGGTAAGAAAATCGATACGGAGGCGTTGAAATATACTAATGGCATTGAAACTAGAAGAAATTATTAGATCAGGCATAGACATAATAATATATAATTTATATATTTGACGACTACTGTAATTATAATTTCGACTCCGAGGCCTCAATATCTTAACTATTTAATATAGAAATAGGTACCCTAATATACATTTAGTCATAATAAAATTATGATGTAAATAAAAAAGCCATGGCCCGACCACAACCTGGACTTGGGTTTCACTGAGCACGCACATGTTGTGCAGTAGGTATTAGGTGCAATTTTAATTTAATTGTATTGTATTGTAACCATTCTTCTACAAGAAGTTTTTTAAAATTACTTATAAGTTATAATAGGTATATATTTTGAAGTGAAAATATTTTAAATATTAATATTAAATTCTCACAAAACTTCAAAAGAGGTTTCCGAAAATTGATTAAATGTGTGCATAACACAATGCAAACTGTGTGCGCTTAACCATTGATATCTGATTGTCGTACCAAATATAATATAATGCTGGTAGGTTGTGAGCTCGTCTATAATATTATTTTACGCTTAAACTTACACGTCAATACAAATATTACTTCATTCGTCGTCGTCGTAAAAACTGTTGACGGCTGCTGCGTGGCCCCGGTAGTTAGGTTCGAAGTACTTCCTTAGATACTCTGGCCGTTCGCCGGAAGCCACTTTGGCCGCGGCGCCCTGCAGATGACTGTGCTCTTTGGAGGCAGGAAATTGGTATTCGTCCTGCAGGTGACCGCGATGATGTGGGTCGCCGTCACTGAGGCCGTCGTCGTCGTCGTTGCTGCCGCTCTTGGCGGGCCACTCGAAGTGGGTCTCGTGGGACGTAACCGGAAACTGCAGGGGCGCGGGATAGTATTCTTCCGGTGACGCGCTGCCGTAGTCACCGTGGGCGGTGGGCAGACCGGCGGCGAATAGTGGTGGCAGCGGCGAACCGTGTTCGAAGTCAGCCGGTTCCGGATGCGCCGCCGGTGGTTCGAAGTGATGATCGCCGTGGCCGGCCGGAACCACCACCTGCAGCGGCGGTTCGTAGTGATCGTAAGCCGCAACGGGTGACGGCGGATGCTGGAAGTGATTGTGCACGGCGGGCACCAGCGGCGGTTCGTAATGATTGTAAGCGGACGGCGGCAGTTGCTGCTGCTGATGGTGATACTGATGATTGTCGTAACCAGGGACCGGCAGTTGTTGATGTTGATGTTGGTACTGATGATTGTCGTAACCGTGCACCGGCGGTTCGTAGTGATCGTTGTATGCAGGTGGCTGTGGAGGTTCGTAGTGATTCGAGTAAGCGGGCGGCTCGTACTGATGACCGTCGTGGACGGTCGGCAACGACGGCTGCTGCAGATGATGATTATTATAGTCCCGATCACCGCCGTGGTAGTTGGGCGCGTAGCCACCGTCACCACCGTGGTGGGCGTTAGCAGTGTTGAGGTGATGGGTCACCGTGGTCGGGTGATGTGAACTTCCGATCTTCTTGACAGTTGCCTGGAAACCGTTTTTTGAGTCAGCCGTGTACTCGACCAACCTGATCGAACCGTCCGGTTCCACCAGGCTGTAGTAGCCGCGCACCGTGTCCCCGTCCCGTTCCTCGTACTGTTTTTTTATGTCGCCGGTTTGCGGGTCGTGGACGCCGTACTCGAAGCGGTAAGCCGGATATGACTGCTTGTCCCGGACAATGTAAAAACAAAAAAAAAACGATAAGCAATATTATTTATATTTGTATAGAGGATATAATGACATAATGTTATTGCCACGATGAATTAGCGGCACACTGTCACCGACCTTTTAAGTGGCGACGGCCACAATTTCAGACCTATTTTATTCTGAGGATATTTATTTAATGCCCTAAGCATGTTTCAGACTTTCAGTAACGTTTCTGGTGGTCGAGGAAGGACTAATGACTTAAGGAGGGGTACTTTTTACAACCAAAAATTAATATTTAATAACATTATTTATAGGTAGGTTGTCGGTACTCGGTAGGTATATTATAATGTATTATGTATAGCCGTATAGGTTTTGTATGTTACATATTATGATAAATGATTATTTTCTTTTTTCTCATCGGAAAAATGTCAAATCGATATTTCCAACTGCCTAATTCAAGTTTTACCGCCACAACAATGTCCATTAAAACCTGAAGTAATTCGTATAGCCGTATTCGTACAACAGTGAATTGAGACTTTTTGATTTTTCGGATGATCAGATCTTTTAAAACACAGGTCTGGACATTCGATTGATAATGGCATATACAATACCTATACTTTTATATTTTCGATCCGTACTATAAAGGTATTTTATATACATTATAACACATTATACACTGCGTAGGTATAAGCAGCAGAGCACAACTGGGAGAGCCATTTTTAAATTCGATATAATTCTATCAGTCAATTTTAATGTATTAAATTTCATGGTTATTGGAATAAATTTCTGTGATAAAAATAATGTGTTGCAATACGTTTTTTTTAGAAAATGTTATACGTCAGACTATATATTATAGTAGTTAAACTGCCATATTATTGTGATTGTTTTTAAACTGCGCTTTAGAGTTTAGACACCTAAACGTTTTCCTTTATACTGCAAACCAATAACATTCTATACGCCTATATTATAGGCAAATATGGTCTTTTCGTAAAACTGTACTAAAAACATTCAAAATACCATAGACAACACCAGTGGAAGTCATGACAATAACATAATAATAAATAGGTATAGGTATAATATTATACTATGGTGGTTTGTCAGGCACGGACATTATGATTTTACCTAGATTCTATAGGCCCTAGAGCGTAGATATTTTTAGGGCACCTAGTCAACTATGAACCATCAATCATAAATTATAGACAATATTGTTAAAAGTTATAGCCAACTGTAGCATTTTTTATCTCTTTGTTTAATAAAACAATTGCTACATTTATATTATATTGTTGTGTATTTAAATAGGACGAGTAACACCGTTAGCGCATCACCGGAACTCGATCTATCAACAAGTATAATATTATAATATAATTTTTAATTTTTCAAATCAAAAGATTATTTACTCGTGCCGCACACGTCGCCCGCGTCTGAAATAGCTCACTTCCCGCCCTTGCCACACAATATACTATTAGGCGTCATGCAAGGAGGTTATAATATGAATATAAGATGTATTCAAAAGTTTATGTTTTGTAAGGACCGTGGTAAAGATTTCAGTGTCTCGTTGTGACAGAGATACGCGTGATTTGCGCGCACAGCATTTTTGGGGATTTCCATTTTACCACCCGGCACTTATTGGGATTTCCAATTAGCACCATGCAATTTTCGGGATTTCCACTTTACCACTCCTGGAGGGAAAAAGGACACTTTTCGTCATTGAAAACTAAACTTTCGGTGAAGGCGTGACAAAACAATTATTGCGTAATGGTAATGATTAGGTGTAATGGTGTAAGCGTTTGAAAAAAACAAAAATTTTAATTTGTGTAACCCATAAACGTTTTATTTAGTTGGTCGTGGTTGCTATATTTTGTTTATAAAATTGTGTTATTTAATTTCTTAAAGTAGCTAAACACATTTCAGATTCGAGCGATGAATTATGTATTGATTTTACAATGATGTTTTTTTTGTTTCTGTTTACACAATACGTAGTCGTAAATTAATGGTTCGATTTTCATCTTCAGTATCTTGTTTGATTGGAAAGTGAATCTAGTTGATGCATCCAGGAGGTCAAAATTTAAAATTCCTAATAGTTATCAAAAGCAAAATTAATTAAGGAAAAACGGAAATTTTTACACAAAATGGTTTTCGACAAAATCGATTTTGGTTTTCGGTTATTCGTTGGGTCAAAAAGTTTGAAATGAATTCAATGCCACTAATAAATTTTTACGATGGCAGTTGAAAAATATTAAAAATACATAGTCACAGTTTATTTTTATAAGCATTTAAAGTGCGAATTTTGACAAAATACATAAAAATAACGAAATTATTTTTGTTTGAAATTCATAAAATTTTCTTTTGAAATTTGTGATTTGGAAATTTAATATAAGATTCCTTATAAGTTTAGCTACCTTTATCAAAAAAAAAATTTCTTCCAGAAATTCAAATTAAATTTTTATGAGCGTTTGAAGTTTGACATTGGATCTTTACAACATTGGATATTCACTCGATTTCTCATGTGGAGATTTTCTTATATTGTTTTAATTAGTTACACTTGAAATTTACACCATATGTTTATTTTATCATTTTCTAAATCTACAAATTTCATTTTTTTTTAGTTTATTTTCTGTTAATATCAATGAAATATTTACATATATAATTATTCGTTTGGTAAAAATGTTTGAATATGTAATACAAGGCTCACTGATTGTTACAATATCAGCTAAAAATATTAAAAATACATAATCAAGAGTTTTTTTTATAAGCTTTTAAAGTTTAAATTTTGATATAACTTTTCAAATTTAAAATATTCAACTTTTATAGCTAAGGATTGAAAATTTAAAACAAGGTGGCACGTAAAGTAATTAATTATGTAACCAAAAAATCTATTAAATATACATTAACACAGGTTTTTTTACAGGTATACCTATTTTAAGTTAAAATTTGGACAAAATGACATATTAAATAACCAACAATAACGATTTTAGTTATTTTTATTATAATTTTAAATATTAATTCATCTTACCGGTTACAGTGTTAATAATATGTAATAATAATATAAATATAATAATAATAATATAAAATATCCTAGACTGACAAACCGTCTCCTCTCAGAATCGTTTTTCGTAAACGAACATTGTATATTATATACAATGATATTATATCATTGAATTCAAATTGAATATCATCCATTACAGTGACCCACTTTTGTCTCCTACAGCAAAACGATATCCATCTACCCGCTTCTTACTAGTTTCCTTTTATATTATTAATTCACCAATATTTAAAATTATTAACAAGTAAGCTTTTGTTCTTTTTGACAAAATATACCTTAATTCGTTCTCAATGAACGAAAATAGCAATGTTTATTACTACTATTATTATTACTGATGAAGTGATATTAGTAGGTAACCTATTGCAGCTTATTGTAGATAAAACTACTTACGAGTGTCGTCGTGGGAGTGAATAATGTATAGATAATGTATAGGTAAGAAATTCAACACTACGATAAAATATTAGTATAACGCTACGACATCTATCTTCGAATTTATATTATCGTATTATTCAATTTTCAAACATTGTACAATCATGCAATCGTATATTTAACGAGCCAATCATAAACCAAAAGGTACACGCGCAATAGTAAAGCATTCGTATTCTACATTTCTACCCCTATGTTTGATGATGATATGTATCTATACTAGATATCAGTACCTACCTATATGGCTATATTACTTATTATGTTCAATATAAAGCCTGATTTTTTTTTAGTTAAAAAAATATTATTATAATTTGTTTTTTAGTCATTTAAAATGCACAACGCTTGTATACTATTATATCATACATGTTTTTATGTCTCAAATATTATTTATGCATGGTAACACAATATTATAATTAATTTGACAGGATAGTACCTATAAAAAATTGACCAATTCGAGAATGTGACAATTTCACAACTAGGGCAGTAACATATAATATGTTAGATAAATTTTATACGAGCACGGGACGCTTTGAATATTACGCCTAGTGTAATATATTATATCTTAATCCGTCACTGACTATAGTGACTTGTCTTACAATATTCATGTGCGTGTGTAACGCATATAGGTATAGGTACGAACCTTTATATTGTAGCTAATATTATATTATACGAAATGCGGACGACGACGGTGTGACCAGCAAATCGCGTCAAGTACTCAAGTGGAACGTTCGATAATAATTCAAATAATTCAATTACACATTTACACCTGTATAATATCATTAGTCATAACAATATTACTATTATTAAAAATAATATATATAGGCACCGGCTCGTGCGAGTGCACCTATATAAAATATTTTATGGGTGTATTGTGATCACTGCTCACACATCTATATCATTATATTATTGTATATATACATTGTGTTCTGTCTCCGCGGGGACGTCGAGCGTCGTTTTGTTGTACTTTTTGAATGTACAAAGTATATTGTATATTATTGTACCTATTTGTATGCCGTATGAGTATAATATTATTCAGTTGGGAATTTCAAAAATTGCAGTTTAATTTCGTTAAAAAAAAATAATGTCACATCTGCTAATCTTACAATAAGTGAGGTACTAAGGTAGGGGTACTATGGGTTGGATAACAGCATACATATTATAAAATACGTTACTTAGAATTTTTTTATCTGAGTAAGTTTTTTAATCACAATACCAGCTGAGTCAATACGAAAAAAAACCTCGGTAAATTTTTACATAATATTATATTGTTATTATTATTATGAGCGATACGTAATATATTGTGGGTCGAAAGTATAATAATATGTACGGTAATATATTTTATTCGTGTGCAACGATTAATATTACCATATTATATATTATTTTAGTCAAACGGATGTCTACTTTTTTTATAAGCCCGCGAAACACACGTCTATTTGAACTATTGTAGGTATTATGTTATTATATGGCGTGACGATGGATTATATATTATATTATATACTATGTATCATATATTATGATATTATATAGTACGTTCAGCCGTTCAGGGTTTTAAATGTATTGTAATAATAATTATAATCCGTTCAAAATGCTTTTAATAAACGACGCCATCCGGTAAAATACACGCTCTTAGGGAACAAAAGATTTGGTCTATAAATATAATATTATACACCTATTATTAGCCTTATACATATACCTACATTGTTATTATGTAGGTACCTGCCCACCTACCTACATACCTACTATACATTACTATTTAGGTGTACCTATGTTTTACTTTTACGACACATGTGAGTCCTGGCTTGCCTACTTTGATAGGTTGTTGAATTGTTTGTTTAGTAAAATATTAATTTATTCATAAATATTATTATTGAATACAGTAATAAAATGCACCTAAATGCTTAACTCGACGATTATGTTTTCGATACGCGTAAATTAGCAGTCGTTACAAAATGTTGAAACCACATCAATTTCACGCTCTTTCACGCAAGTTCGGTTCGTAAAAAATAATTCACACATTTTTTTCCAAAGATTTTATTCATATTTAATTTTTGAGCGGTCGATATATTTTCTTATGCCTATACATGATTGTGAAATCAAATCATTATATTGTCACAACGTCAATCATAATTAGCTGTTCTATATATTTGCATGTACCTATACTGCAGACTGCAGATACTTCAACTACATGCGGTAATGAACAATAATATTAGGTATTTAATAACTAATAAATTAAGGGGATTGGAAGCGGTGATTTTCTGTCTTCGTCTCACACACATGGAATATGGTATATAGTTATAGTTATAGTTATATAGTATTATGAGTATAACAATATTCTATTAAACCTTTCAAACTGTTTTAAAAATATTTCAATTTCGATTTAATCATATTTAATAATTTAATAGTATTTAATGACGTTCATTTTTTATTTATTAACTGCTTTGGTTATGAACACGTTAAAAATATTATTTTAATAAAAACATAATATTTATATTTACATATAGGTACATATTTTAGGTTTTTTTAGGACGATAATTCATTCGAGTCCTATAACCTCTAGGACCATAAGTAATTTATAAGTACTTGGTTACCCCATCGTATTCTACAACTTCACATAAAAGTATAAAACTACTCTTTTCTCATACATTAATAATGCATTCATAAATTGTAAAAGTATAATATTATAGAGCGCACTATCATATTTTACCATTTTATCGTAACTTTATGGGAAAATATTGTGCCTCCCAATGGCTCCTAATTATATATATTATATATTTATTACAATTCCTGAAATAAATGTTCATATTATGTGTTTTTTATTTGTATTTTGTTTAGACTTACATAATGATCATGATTGTATTCTGGTGCGTAATAATCTCTTTTTGACACCTTCTTATCACTTGCATCGGTGTTATGTCCGTGTTTAGTAGTTTCTACGTTTTCCGCTAAACAAGTTTGTATGAAAAGCCCAAAAACAAATAAAAACATCTGAAATAGATAATTATCAAATTAATATATATTTTTTAAATTTGCTTTGCTTTTTAATTTTTATTAATGTTGCAAAATAATTGTAATCGATAATTCAATCAGTATTATGTATTTTGCAACTAATGAAATGTAAAATAAGTTTGAAAATATTTTTATTTTCCTACGTTTCTTCATTTATAAAAATAATTGAATTAATCCGTAACATTTGTATGTCCATGGAAATAAAAAAAAATATTTAGATAATAATAACGAAATTAATAATTCACCTACGTAGCTATAAGGTCAATGATGGTCAATTATAGATTAATAACAGTTCCGCTAAGTTAGATTCAAAATTCAAATCGTCTGTGTGCTGTTATAAAAACCATACCTGATTTAATAACTCTTGCTATTGTCAATAACCTTGTTTTTTGATTAAATTTTAAAATTCATCGTAGGTATAAAAATGTTTTAATTGTGCATTAAGTTTAGAAATTACACAGTCTTAAATTGTAAATTATTTTACATAATATAGTTATATACTGTAAATTGTAATGCTCGTATGGAAATACACAGTACACTGAACCAAGCATAAAGTAGTTGTAACTAACGCGTATCAGCACACATTAAATTATATTGAAATCTAAGTTTAATCACTAGTTTGGTTTAATTTTTAATTAGGATATTAGATTCTAAACAAGGCAGGTAAGAAATATAAATTTGACCATGACTTAAAAAACAATATATTAATTAATTTTTCAGATTAAACATGGTAATTTGACTTATCGAACATAGACTCTAGAATTCTAGATGATTCTTTTAAAAAGTCATTTTTTGATTTCCTCAATAGCTTCTCTAAGCCTATAAGAAGAATTACCGACAATCGTCAAAAAATTATGGAGAAACATCAGAAAGTGTGGTACCTACCTACCTAGTGGATTTTAAGTATTTTACACAAGTTCTTTGACTCTATTCAAATTTGTTTTAATTTTTTTATAGTGCAACGATTTATTAATGCTTTCAAACATGACAACACTACTCGACACTTGAACACTAGTGCCGATCACCAGATCTCTGAAATATAACCTGCAGTATCCAATCTGACTTTTTATAGTTATCTTTTTGCGATGCAATTATTAAAGATATTACCGACGGAATAATTATGCCTTGATAATAGTAATATTGTAATAATCAGTGACGCCATTTGCGGTTCATGATATTGTTTTCGACAGTTCGTAATCAGTAATCACTAATCAGATATAGACATATGGTACCTGTATTGTTTATTGGAATCTCACAGAATAATATGCAATGCCGACACAATATGATACCTACTTTAATGAATCAAATTAAGAATAAATATAATTATTACCTATATTATTATATTATCATACTGCGGTATACTATACACCATTTCCTACCATTATTGTCTAATTTAAATCTTAAGCGATTAACGTATTTTGATGTCCATACCTACTCCATTATTAAATCTGACAAATTTAAATAATTATGTTCTGTGTCAGTTTTTTTATTTTTGTAATTTTATAAATAGCATTTATTTATTGCTGTAATTTGATTTAAATTATTCACACTGTGGTTATACATTCAAACAATGATTTTGAAAGTATTATCTATTGTATAGTGTATACTCAATACACATTTATGATTTGATATTTTATACATACATTTTCTATCTTAGATTTCTATAATAAATCTTTTCATTTATATTAAAAATATTTCAAGGCACCTAGTGCCAATACCATTTTGTCCACAAAAATACGCTACACGGGAATAATGATTCTGTTCTATAGAATCAACCAAATTCATTAATATTTTTTTAACTAATAGAAGATAATATTCTACAGGACACATTGAACTCTGTTTATCAATATTTTAATTTTAAATTTAAAAATATGTCTTTAAAAATAAGACAACTTTAAGCTTTTTTAAAAAATTATTTTATACCATTATTTGAAATAAAATAAAAAATTGCAGTTCAATGTGGCCTGTAAGAAATCTTCTTCTTTCAGATAAAAAAAAAATAGTTATAAAAATAGGACAATTCTACAAGGCCTTAGAATTTTTCCTTTGAAGTCATTTTATTCGATATTTTACAGTGTATCAATCCCCCCTAAATTATAGTATCGGGCAGTAGACTAATGAAAATGCATTATAATGAAGGTGGTGACTAAAAAGTAAAATATTATTTTCAAATTTTATAGAATTGCAGACATTTTGAAAAAACCGGCACCGTATGGGCTCCTTATTAAGTAAACATTTATAGGATTCTATTTTAATTTCGAAGTATTTAAAGTAATAATATAATTAACAAACTTATTAAGCAACAGATTTGTATTAAAATATTTCACAAACACTGTATCGAATTAACATATTATCAACAAGTGTGGACCTAAACAATTATTTATAGGAATGTATGTAAGGTTATTCAATGTGCAATATACGAAATAATTGTAAACATGGATATGTTTAGTTACAGTTACCCTTAAAATTGATTTGTTATCAACAAAACAAAACTCATTTTTTCATCATATTCAACCATGTCAAAAATATTTAATTACATTTTAAAATTGGAATTTTTCCTTTATATTATTAATTAAGCATCTATATTTTATATTATTTTTAAATTATCTAACTAATAGTCGTATAATTTTCGTGTTATATTGATTCACACCAGATGACTTGTAAACATGTATACCTAATACGAATTAGCTATATATTTTTTTCTACGTTTTATGTAAAAGGTATAGATACTAATTTGATTTAATATATTTAATTTGAAATAACCCCTTGTTAAATGGAATTAATTAAACTGTTATTGTATGTTTGTATATTAATGTACCCAAGACAAGTCGTTAAGTTATAAAATAAAGAATTATATTTATAGTTATAGTAATAATTCAAGAAATATATAACAAAATTACTCATTACTATGTAAGTATATTTATTTACTCAACTCATTAGCTTTATAATGAAGAATAACACTTAATTATATTCCACGAATCATTAACAACAAATGATCCATATACAAATTGTATATATATTTGTATATATAAATTACCTATATTTATTCTAGACTCTAGTTATTGACATTAAATTAAAATATTGTACAATGTACCAAAATAAGAGATTCTCTGTCAGAGAAAAATATATTGTGAAGTCATAGAATAATTAAACAATGTCATAATGTCGATGAATAAAATAAAAAACTTAAAAATATTGGTACCAATAGTAAAAAAATAATATTTAAATATATTTAATTTGATAGTCTTTAATGAAAAAAGTTTTTATACTTTATTTAATGGTGAATTTAAATAGTTTATAATTTATGGTTTATACTACAATATTATATAATATTTATAAATATAATTTTTTGTTTTGTTTTTCATTTAAAATATAAAACTAAATATATGAAGACAATTTTACAAACCTTAGGGTCTTTCATATCTTCACGTCTCTGGAATGTATAAAAGTATAAAAAATATTTTTAAAGCCTTATAACATTTTCAAGAAAGTAAGTTGTTTGAATCGTTCTTTTTAACCAGCATGAAATAAAATGAAAAACACGTGTAAAAAAAATAATAATATAGTAAATTATTCAAACCAAACGTCCAATCACTTCCACGCGACTATTCATGACGTTATTTCCCGCCGACACTAATATATAGTTCTCCTTCTTAGCTTGTTTTCACGTCCTTGCTCCTTCCAAATATTGGCACCCAAACAACAATAAAATGAAAGAACAAAAAATGATGCTGAAACGATGACCCGCTATGACGAAGTACTCAATATTATTAAATGGTCTATGTCTATCTATCGGTTGAATGCTCTTAGGAGTTATAATAGATCAGAGCGACGTGTCAAGACAATGATGACTGATGTGGATGATCAATTTCGTAATTGATGTGTGTAACATTTTAGATAGGTAATCAATAACTTATCCCCCATAAGGGATATCAGTTATATATACAAATATGTAGGTCAGTAAAACGTTTTAAAAATGTAAAAATATTTAAATGGAATTTGCTTAGGGCTTTTAACATTAATAAGTTAATTAATTTTCTCTACATCATAATTTGCAGAAGCAGAAAGGATAATATGATCGTTATTTGTTTAACTATTGTTAAATATACGGAGTTTCATTTTATATTTATATGGAATATGGGTAGTAATGTATTATAATACTATGAAGTATGATTTACAGCTAGTAAGCTAGCAGTAGAAGAAAAAATTAAACAGCAATAAATGTATGAATAATTATTTTTTTATATTTATGTACTTTGAGTACACAATGAGCATGTTACCTGTTTTATAAAATTTGTATTGATATTCATTGAATAACAGCATACAATAAATAGAAAATTAGTTGAATGAATTAATATGCTAAAAAGTTATACACAATGACAATTAAAAAATTAGTTTGTTTTCGATAGTAAAAATAATTGTTGAAGTTGTAATATGCTTAGCCTCACAACAGTTTATAATGCTTATTTTAGATTCTGAGTGGAACTATGATTAATTTTACAATGATGTGTGTGTTCATTTTTTTTTGTGTTTAAAATGCATTGTTTTCGACAAAAATTAATTCAACCTACTGTATTACTAATAGTAAAATAAATTACTTTAAGAGAAATATAATGGTAAATTAATATACTCAGTTGTTATATAGGCTGACAGACCGTCTTCTCTCAAAATCGTTTTTCGTATACACTGATTGTATATCATTTAATTAAAATTTAACACATGCAATACAGCTACCAGGTACGCCCGCAGATAAGTAGCTCACTAGGTGCAAAATAGTTTTAGTGACAATAACCCTAATTTACTAATATCTTTATGATGAATTTTTAAAAATATAAGGATTCATAATTTATACTGATTACCTAATAATTAGATACTTACCTACATATAATGGCTAACATAAATTGGTTAGTAATTGTAATATAGAATAATTAATTGTTTGGAAAAATATACCATTTAATGAACTAGCCCTAATTTTATTG